ATATGAGTTTATAACATATTAACGTGTAAATTAATAAGTGGTTACACGTTTAAGTGTTGATTCCCAATTTGGAAACATTCGTGTAAAAGTATTTACACGATTTTTACACAAAATTTACACAAACATTTTAACACAGAAAAAAAGAGAATTTACACACTGATATTTTTTGCAGTGTATTTTAACTTATCTTAAAAATAATTTAAATATTTCGGAAACGGTTAAATTTGGGTATATAATATTATGTTAAATGAATTACGCTTAGAATTTTACAAGGAATCAAAAAATAAATTCATATACAGTTTGTATTAAAACGAATAGATACACTTAAATAAAAAGTGCCAAACCCCGCCCACTGTGGTAGGGTATTGTTTAACTGCTGCTGGTGGTCTATTTGAACATTTAATTTAGAAAAAAAGTTATTTTCGTTATTTTAGAATTATTTTTGTTTGAGATTTTATAGGTTTTATTTTTATCGAATTCGTTTGTTTTGTTTTAATGCATTTCTGCAAATAAAAACTAAGTATTGTTTAAAATCCATTAAATTCCAGTTAATGGCAAAAATGTATTTCTTAAAAACTATACACATTTCCCTACGACAGCGTCGGAGCTACTGAACAAACACGCTGCATGCCCTTGTATCTGGCTGCATGCCGCGCTGTTGTCATATGCTATTATTGTTTCCTAAAAGGGTTGTTTTCCTTATTTTTTAATATTAAAAGTAAGAAAATTAACTAAATCAAATTATTTTTGGCATATTATTAATTTTTTTGTTATTTTTAAAGTTTCAAACAAATAAAATTGAACTATTTATTAAATAATTTATTTATTTATTTATAATTATAATCGTAAATCTTCTGATTTAAAACAACCTGGCAACTATGGTTCGTAATTACGAATGGCTTGGTTTAAACCACGCCCAATTAAAGTTTGTTTCTTTTTCTCAGATCAGAATATAATTTGTCATCCTTGTCTCCAGCCTTACTTACTTGATTCTATACAGTATAAGTAGCTATGGTGATCCATTGAGAAAAAATAAACTTTTTGTGTTTTCCTGTATACTAGGGTGCTTCAAAAAATAAAATTTATTTTTTTTCACTCTTACCCTCTTAAATGTTTCTATTTAATATAAAAAAATCCTCACCAAATATGGGCGTTCCAGCTCAACTCTAAGAGGTCGCTGTTTTTATTTTAGTTTTCCATTTAATTAACATGGGAAAAAATAATTTTATGTTTGGAATTTTATACCTACCTCTGTATCAAAGTAACTTATGGCAATGATCATTTCAGTTTCTTATATAAAATGTAACGCTCTGTATCAAAGTAACTTATGGCAATGATCATTTCAGTTTCTTATATAAAATGTAACGCTCTAAAAAAAGCTTTCTTATTATTTCTCGATAAATTGATTTATTCTAGAGTTATTCGAGGTCAATGTTTGATTAACATCAAATTTTATGGGTTTTTTTAATTTTATGGTACAATTAGCAGACGGGAGGTGAAAGGGGGCAAAACAAGGCAGCGGGAGGGGGCAAAATGGTGTACCCAAAAAATGAGCTTATGAAAAGTTTTCCAAAATTGTACCATCCTTTTTCTCGCTCTACAGGCTCAGAATAATTATTTTCAATATATTTTCAAATAATTTAGAAAACCGAAAAAAACAATCTAAAAAACATTTTTTTACGAAATTTTTTGGGTACCCCATTTTGTCCCCCTTAGAGTTGAGCTGGAACGCCCATATTTGGTGAGGATGTTTTTTATATTAAATAGAAACATTTGAGAGGGTAAGAGCGAAAAAAAAAATTAAATTTTAATTTTTTAAGCACCCTAATATACATAAATATGTATATACTATATATGTACTAAAAAATACTTTTTTTCTACGTATAAAAAATTGGAAATGGATCAGTATACAGTAGGGTGCTTCAAAAAATAAAATTTAATTTTTTTTTCGCTCTTACCCTCTTAAAACGATTTAAGGCCAAACGGTTAGGTTTTAGGTACTTTAACGTTAAAAAAATTATTATTATTATTATTATATTTTTCAATTAACGTAAAAATCTGCAATATTGCAGATTTCCAAGGAACTATTTTTTTCAATTCCGAAGAAAACAAAAAATAAATATTCGTAATAATAATAATATTGTACTACTGTACTACTGTATACTGATCCATTTTCCAATTTTTTTTACGTAGAAAAAAAGTATTTTTTTAGTACATACATGTATGCATAACCACACTTTTAAAGTTTTTGAGACACTTAAAATACCTCTCTAATGTTTAAAATAAATAATTTTATAATTTTGTATTTGTATTTTTATAGCTCAGGACCAAAGTATGTATAATGTATAAAGAATAATTAATTATATAAACTAACATTTTTTCCGTGTGTAAATTTACCTATTTGCAAAATAAATCATTTTTAATGCTGCTCAAAAAATTAATAATAATTTGGGAACCCTCTCAATCCTTTTAAGAAAAGTTCCAAATAATAATCAACCAATAGGTTAATAATAATTTGGGAACCCTCTCAATCCTTTTAAGAAAAGTTCCAAATAATAATCAACGATCCAAATAATAATCAACCTATAGGTTGATTATTATTTGGAACTTTTCTTAAAAGGATTGAGAGGGTTCCCAAATTATTATTAATTTTTTGAGCAGCATTAAAAATAAGTTATTTTGCAAATAATTTTGTTTACCCCATAAAAAGTTTTTGGCGCTTGGTTCCTTTTCGTTAAAAGTTATCCAATTAAGACCTTTATAGTTTTAATAAAGGCTTTACACAAAAAAATCATATAATATAATACAATATACAAGGTGTCCCTAAACTTAGAGGCATAAATTTAGGAGCAGATTAAGCAAGTCAAAATAAGACGAAAATCTAAATAAATATTTTTCCTAATTACGAATGTTTAAAAGATACAGGGTGATAAAGTGTTAATTATCATATTAGTTTTTTTAATATAACTTCTACTATGGTAGACTTGGAAAGGTGCACCTATCATGATATTTTGCGAACAGTCACTTACTACCAAAACACATAATCACACATAATTACAGTTGTTCGAGTAAACAGTGTCGTAGAAACAGGGGTTGCTTAAGCTTATTGCCCCATACAAACTTTGAGGTTAGTTTTTTATACCATTTGAGGCAATTTTTCGATTACTCAGTTCGGCTACTATTAAAAAGGTGTACCTCTCAAACTTCGATAAAATAAACCGTTTCCGAGATATTCGAGATTACAATAATTGTTATATCGCATTAAAGGACTGAAAGGTACCGTAAACACGGGTGACTTTGCACCCCGCGGGTGACTTTAACCCATTTATGAAAAATCTTTACGCGCTCGATAAAATTAACATTTACAATTTGTTGGTCTAAACCTGTCAATTGAGCGATTCTATTGAGTTTATATTACAGGAAAATCAGTGTTTTAAAGAAAGAAATGGGATTTATTACACTTTAAAATTGTATATATCGTATCAGTGCAAAACTCATAGAAATACACGCGTTACAATTTCTATAATATGCACAATTCTTTGGAATGATGATCCTTGGTTAACTACAGGTCGATTTTTTATTTTTTTATCGGTAATCCCTTGCAATAGGTATATGTCGCTGCTAATACGTATCTAATAAAAATAAAATTTTATACGGAAAATACACTGTGAGACAAAGTAACCCGCAACCAGGGGGTAACTTTGCACACCCAGTTTTTAATTTTTATTTTTGAAACTCAGCCCTATGTAATATTATAACATAGTTATTATGAAAGAGCAACTCAAGACTCAAATTTTGGTATACATAATTTAATGTTTATGATTGTTAAAACCACAAAAATTTTAAGCTTAGGTTTGAAAGTGAGCTAAAGCCACCCGTGTTTACGGTATATGATAATATTTTTTTTAATTGAAAAAAACAATTTTTTTTAATGTGAAGGTCAGGGCAAAAAGTCCCGAGGCTCATGGAATGCCCTTTTTAGTTTTTTTCAATTAAAAAATAAAATTTGTTATCATATACCTTTTAATCCTTATAAATAATGCGATATAACAATTATTGTAATCTCTAGGTAATATCTCGGAAACGGTTTATTTTATCGAAGTTTGAGAGGTACACCTTTTTAATGGTAGCCGAACTGTGTAATCGAAAACTCATCAAATGTTATAAAAACCTAACCTCAAAGTTTGTATGGGACAATAAGCTTAAAGCAACCCCCGTTTCTACGACACTGTGTTCAATCAAACAATTGTAATTATGTGTGAATATATGTGTTTTGGTAGTAAGTGATTGTTCGCAAGATATCACCTTTCCAAGACCAGCAGAGTAGAAGTTATATTAAAAAAACCGATATGATAAGTAACACTTTATCACCCTGTATCTTGGAAACATAAGTAATTAGGAAAAATATTTATTTAGGTTTTCGTCTTATTTTGACTTGCTCAATCTTTTCCTAAATTTATGCCAATAAGTTTAGGGACACCTTGTATATAATATAATACAATAATTGTATTATTTTCAGAAAATAAGACTAAATTAGCGTAAAAATGACAGATTATGACAATTGTTCGACTGCATTCCTTATTCAAATGTCAATGTGGAACTTTTTAAAGTGGAGCATGGTAGGTACCTACTTGCATATTACATTTTTTGTGGAATGGATTGTATTTCTTGTAAAATCCAGGAGCCCCATTTCGTGATTACCCGACTTTTGTCGACTCATTACAATCTTCCATAATCTTCTTCATTCTTCATTGACTGAGGTAATAACGCTTTTAAACCTTGCTACCTGTCTTAAGTATATCTCACTTATGGTCAAAAAAAACTTTGTAAATTGTTAAAGCGTTTAATTAAAATATCTGAGCGTTTTCGGGGATATGAATACGGAGTTTGGAGTTTTAGTGGTGCAAAAAGCACTCTCAACTTTGATATTTGATCTTTAATTTTTAAGATAGATTTTAGTTTTAATCGGTTATAATTTTAGGATATAATTTATTAAACGTAACAAAATACATTTTTAATACTTTATTTTCAGACATTGTAGGCCTCATTTGGCAGCACATTGCGAGTTATCTGATTTAGGTTGAACATCCTGAGGTGGACATGGCGAGTCATCTGATTTTGGTTGAACAACTTCAGGCGGAGATTGCAAGTTATCCGATTTTGCTTGAGCATCTTGAGGTGGACATGGCGAGTCATCTGATTTTGGTTGAACTTCAGGTGGAGATTGCGAGTTACCCGATTTTGGTTGAATATCTTGAGGTGGAGATTGCAAGTTATCTGATTTTGGTTGAACATCTTGAGGTGGACATGGCGAGTCTTCTGATTTTGGTTGAATATCTTGAGGTGGAGATTGCGGGTTATCTGATTTTGGTTGAATATCTTTAGATCTAACTCCAATAATATTATAAAATCTCCCAGTAGCATTCATAGAAATACCTAAAAAGAATCGTAAAAGCAGAAAAAATCAAAAAAATTAATAATATTTACCCCCTAAAATTACATCATATCCTGCCACCTCAGGTAAAGAGTCTAAAGGCAGATCCTCCAAATTGTCTGGGGGCTTCCATTTACTAGGGTCCCCCCCATTTGCCCCTGGAGGACATACAGTGGGACATAAAGTACTCATATTAAAATGATTTTTAAAATGAATTGACAATGACAAATATAGTATAATATAATGACTTTTGTATACCTTCAATTGGTGGCCCACAAAAAACACGAAATGGCAACTCCGAATTCTTGCACTGTTTCTCTATTAAATAATGACCGACATGTATTAGTATTTGCGGCCCCACCGTGGTACAGAGAGAGGTTGTACCGCGTGCTCATCTCCCTCCGGAAGCTGCATATTACCGGCCGTGGCCGCGGGCCTTCATTCAAAGTCAACAACACTTTACTGCGGCTACTAGAAGCGTTGCTCTTAAAAGACTTTTTAGGTTGTGTTTTTGACGAGAGTTTAAAAAGAATAAATCCAATGTAACTTTGTTATAGATTGTTTAAAATTAAAAATAATATTTTTTTTCAAGCATACAATAATTATAAGACTAATAAGTCTATTTTGCTAAACAAGTTATTATCCTTGGGGATTGTTGAAAACATGCATAAATGGTTAACAAGTTTTTTGAATAACTGGACTCAAACTGTATTAATTAACCGTTTTAAATCATTTAAAATAGCTGTATAGTCTGAGGTACCACAGGGTGGTCATCTATCCCCACTGCTTTTTAATTGCTTTATTAACGATTTATGTGTTAATATAAAATTTTGTAAAATATTTGCAGATGACTTAAATTGTATGGTAAAGTGTATAGTTTATATAATTGCGAAAAAAAAACTGAGTTTAGAATCCTGGTGCAATGAAAATTGTAGGTATGTCTCTAAATATAAATAAATGTAAAGTTATAAATTTCCACAGAATAAAAAATAGAATTAATTATCCTTATAATATTGAAAATGTAAAGTTATAAATTTCCACAGAATAAAAAATAGAATTAATTATCCTTATAATATTGAAAATGTGATAGGAAAATGTTAATGTCATTAAGGATAATATTGTAAATGTAAAGTTATAAATTTCCACAGAATAAAAAATAGAATTAATTATCCTTATAATATTGAAAATGTGATAGGAAAATGTTAATGTCATTAAGGATAGATCCACCCATGGGTGCAGATCTGGGTGTAATTTTTGATAACAAAGTTACATTTACCGAACACATAAATATTATAACTAGTAGAGCGCTAAAAATGTTAGGTTTTGTTAAAAAACTGATGAGTCATCGCCGGTGAGTCAGCGATCGAGAGCTGTGTGGAGCTCGCTGGAATATTCGAGAAAATGCTTGCGTGACGTGGTCACGTAGGCACTGAATATATAAGGAGCATCGGAGCCTGGAGCAGTCAGTCAAGTTTTGGTACTCGCGACGAAATAAAATAAATTTAGTGCAAATAAATAAACTCTTGAATAGTAGTGATAATATCACTATTTAATATAATATATTATATAAATAATTAGTTGTTAAGTGTTTAGTTAGTTTTATAGTTTCTTAGTGTTTTAAGTTTAATTAAAATATAAAAATAAATCGTTTATTTTGTTAATAAACCAGTGCGTTTTTTAATTCACACTACGAACAATAAAAACGTTACATTGGTGTCAGGAGTGCGGTTAGTGTGAAACTTCGCGAAAATGGTTTCGTTAATGGACTTAAAAGTGGCGGACCTTAAGCGGGAGCTGGAAGAAAGGGAATGTGAGACAACTGGAAAAAAGAATGTGTTGCAGCAGCGGCTTCGAGAAGCTTTGGAGCAGGAAGGTGAAAATCCAGATACGTATTTATTAGAAGGCCCTTGTGATATGCATTTAAGGTTGCAAAATTTAAACGAAAAAATGTTGGAGAATTCTAACGATTTAAAACAGAAGATTCTAAAAAATTCTAAAGAACTAAAAGTCGATTTGCAACAGAAAATGGTGGGAAATTCTAGCGATTTGGAAAACGAGTTACAACAGAAAGTGCTAGAAAATTCTAATAATTTGAAAGTCGATTTACACCAGAAAATTCTGGAAAATTCTAAAAATTTAAAAGAAAGTGAGCAATGAATTGACGAATCTTCTGTCGACTTCTTCAAAGAATTTGAAACCCAATGAAAGGATAAAGCTGAAAGAGCTGATATACAATTATCAGGATGTGTTCGCCGACGGACAAGGAAAGAACTGTCCAGCATAAAATTTTAATTTTATTTGACAGTCGGCAAAAAGGCTGCCACTTTCCAAGCGAAAGGAAGCTGATAGAATTGTGCAAGAAATGAAGAAGGAATGGGTAATCGAACCATCCAACAGCCCATGGTTTTCACCAGTGGTGTTAGTTAAGAAAAAGGATGGGTCAACTCGATTTTGCGTCGATTTTCGTCAGCTGAACAACGTGACGAAGAAGGACAGCTCTGCCTAGGATCGATGACACCCTGGATACATTGGCTGGATCACGGATATTTTCGACTTTTGATTTGAAAAGCGGTTACTGGCAGGTTAAAATGGCACCAGAAGATAGAGAAAAGACGGCGTTTACCGTGGGTGCTGGACTGTGGCAGTTTACTGTCATGCGGTTACTGGCAGGTTAAAATGGCACCAGAACATAGAGAAAAGACGGCGTTTACCGTGGGTGCTGGACTGTGGCAGTTTACTGTCATGCCGTTTGGACTATGTAATGCCCCTGCAACTTTTGATAGGCTCATGGAAATGGTTTTGAAGGGACTATCCTGGAAGACATGCTTGGTGTACCTTGACAACATCATTGTGGTTGGGAAATCATTTGAGGACCATATGAGGAACCTGAAGGAAGTCTTTCAGCGCTTAAAAAGTTCTGGCCTAAAGTCCGAAGAAATGTCACTTGTTCCAGAGGGAAGTGCAGTATCTGGGCCATGTCGTTTCAAGTCAAGGAGTGGCAGTGGATAAACATAAGGTAAAAACGGTGCAAGAATGGCCAGTACCAAAGAATAAACATGATTTAAGAAGCTTTCATGGATTATGCACCTACTACCGTCGGTACGTACCAGGATTCGCAAAGGTTGACGGAGGGAGAGAGATGATTCCAATGAGACGACGAATGCCAAGAAGCCTTTAAGAACCTGAAAAACGAGTTGACCAGCTCACCAGTTCTGAGTTATCCTCTTCCGGATGGTGAATTTATTTTGAACACGTACGCCAGTAATGTGGGACTGGGAGCTGTTTTGTCGCAGATTCAAGAGGGAAGAGAGAAAGTTATTGGATACTTCAGTAAAACTTTATCTAAACCAGAACGTAATTACTGCGTTACTCGACGAGAGTTGTTAGCAGTGGTAAAATCAGTCGAACACTTTTACAAGTACCTGTATGGAAGAAAATTCTTGCTAAGAATGGATCATGCTGCCCTAAAATGGCTTTTTCAATTCAAGAATCCTAAAGGACAAGTATCAAGATGAATTGAGAGACTACAGGAGTTCGACTTTGACACAGAACATCGGGCTGGGACCATCTATAGAAATGCTGACGCCTTGTCAAGAAGACCGTGCCCGGAAGACTGTAAACATTGTCTCAGGGTCGAAGAAAAGGATGTGTCTATTCGCAGGAGTACACTTGTGGATGATAAATGGCAGTCCGATAAGGTTCAACAAGACCAGGAAAGGGACCTGGATTTAAAACTCATCATCGATTGAAAGAAGAACGACTATAAACCAACATGGCAGGAAGTCGCCCAATATTCGCCGAATGTGAAATCGTACTGGGCCCAATGGAATTCCATCATCTTAAGTGACGGACTTCTAAAACGCGTTCTGGAGATGCCAGAAGGGGCGGAAGACCGGAAGCAGTTAATAATCCCCAGAAACAGGATACCAGAAGTGCTACAGGAAATCCATGATGGGAGTACTGGAGGACATCTTGGGGTGACCAGGACACTCGGAAGACTTAGGGAACGGTTTTATTAGGTCAACTGCCAACGAGATGTGAAGGAATGGTGCAAGAAATGCGCCGTTTGCGCAGCAAGCAATGGACCCCAGAAGCGCCCAAAAGCTCCAATGCGACAGTACAATGTGGGCAGCCCATTTGAGAGAATTGCAATCGACGTGGCGGGTCCATTTCCGGAAACAGAATCTGGAAATAAATACATCATCGTTGTAATGGACTACTTCAGCAAGTGGGCGGAAGCGTACGCCTTGCCAAACCAGGAAGCTGCCACAGTGGCCGATACCCTTATTAAGGAGTGGATTTGTCGTTTTGGTGTGCCAATGGAAATGCATTTAGACCAAGGCAGAAACTTTGAATCTATATTGTTCCAGAATGTCTGTAAGATTCTTAACATTCGGAAGACGAGGACGACTGCATTACATCCGCAGTCCGATGGAATGGTGGAACGAATGAATCGAACGATAAACCGGTACCTGTCCAAGGTAGTCTCTGATCACCAAAGAGACTGGGACCGCTTCCTCCATCTGTTCCTGTTGGCGTACCGTTCTTCTATTCACGATACCACCGGCCAGACACCCGCAAGCATTGTTATGGGACGTGAACTTCGTCTACCTTGTGACCTGAGGTTTGGTTGCCTACCAGGGGAAGATATTGTTGGAGAAGATTATGTGAGCAATTTACATAGGAAAATGAGCGACATTCTTAGCCGAGTTCGTTTAAACATCCAAAGTGCCAGTGATAGAATGAAAGAGGCATACGACATTAAGGCGGAGAATGGAGGATTTCAACCTGGAGTCCTAGTTTAGTTATACAACCCTCTTGGTTATTCACCGAAGCTGCAGAATTCTTGGAAAGGACCATACGAAGTCATGGATCGCATAAATGACATCATCTACAGGATCAGAAAACAACCGAGAGGAAAGCCGAAAGTGATCCATTTCAACCAATTGGCTCCTTACGCTGGAAACAATGATGACCAAATAAACGATGCTAGAGTAAGACGGGTTAAACAACCGGAAGACGAGTTACCTTTGAAGACTTTATGTATCTATATTCTGGCGGTAAAAAAGCTCGGTATGGAGTCACTCGAGAAGAACAACAAAATCTGTTCACGGTTTCGGCCGATTACTCCTTGGCCCACTGTGTTGCAGAGGATGTCCAGGGGAATAGCGGTTGTCTTTAAAAACAAGTTTGGACGGGTTGACGAGCTACGAAGGCAGAGTCCCAAAGTTGGAGAGGTGCTTAAATTGTGGAAAATGAGTAGAAAGGCAACAGAAGTATCTTCTATCTGGTAACGAGGCAGCTCTCCTATCAGAAGCCAAACTACCGTGACCTATGGAATGCCTT